CCCCCCCCGTTTTTTTTTTTCTTTTTCAAGTTTGACATTCATGGCTGCTTATGCTACTGGTATCACCTCACATGACACCTACCAGTAGCAGAGTCCAGGTTTGTGCTGCATATATTGCCACCATGATTCCTTGGCTCAGGCTGAGGATACCTTACTCCTCTGAACCAGTCTTTTCTGCACAAAACATCCTGGTAACAATTAGAGCATTGCTGTTGGGGAAGATTTGTCAGAGGAATGTTAGAATTCTTTGCCTCTGCCCAATGTGTTGTTTAGCAGCTGGAAATACTGCAAATGCTGTGACCAATAAAAGTTTTGGGGATCATCAGACAAAAAGTGGGGAAGCCCAGCATTGCCTGGTAACAAAGTAATTTATCCTGGCAGGATGCCTAAACTGTAATTTTCAGAAGCTTAAAATTGCATCCACATAATGCTTAACCAAATTTTCTAACCTTTTTGGAAGGTATCTGGGTGGCCTATTCCTCCCCATTGTAAAACTAATGCAAAGCTCATTAGAAAAAAGCAAGACTTTTTTTTCCCCAAAGGCATCACTAGATTTGGAGTTAAGGCCAGAGTCACTGGAACAACAGTCCAGTTACTTTTTGGGGGTTCTCTTTGCCCCAGAGAATATATGGCAAGGAGGCAGCTTGCCTTAAATTCATAGTATCTCAGTAAATACAACTCAGTTTACTTTTTTGAAGGCCAAAAAGGTGCTGTGGCGCTTTCTTTATTTTGCTCTGCAACGAAGAACAGTAATTTTCTTCAATCTTCAGCACTGCTCCAGACCTTTCCTTATCACCCTTGCAAATCCCACAGTGGCATCGCCAATCCTCTAACTTCAGAGAATTTATTTCTCATTTAAGCCATCAGAAGTCAATATGATGGTACTGAAGTGTGTGGGGAGTGGTCGTTGTGGTGCCTCCTATTCGATTTACTGAACCCTGCCTATATGCAGACCTTGAGCTCTGAGGCAGAAACCATTGTTGTATGGTGGGCTCTTACTGTCATATAAAAGGGAATGGTATATGTAGCTAAGAAATCAGGCCCAGTAACAATCGTTTAAAATCTTTAAAATATTACGAGCTTTTCTTTCTGTTTTTTTTTTTCTTTCAACACTTTTGACTGGAACTGGGAACTGCAGATACCTGCAAAGGAGAATGAAGCAGAGTTGACTTAACTCCTTGGAGTCTGAAGAAAAGGTTAGAGTTTGTTTTGGTTCAAGGGATCAGGTGGAGGTTCAGGCTGAACAGTATTTTGTTTGAATTGGTTCACTCCACCCTGCTATAAATCAGGTCTTGAATACTGTACCAGTGAGTATAAAATACTTGGATATAAATTAAGAGTTGAACACACTGTACCTGTGAGTATAAAACGCTTGATGTATAAGTCAAGGCGAATGCTCTGCATGAACTACTTGGAGAGATAAATGATAGTGCTTGAATACTGGCCGGTTGAATATAAAACACTTCGGCTATATGTCTCATTTTTACATTACTGCTTGAACATGTGTATACATCACAATTGCCAGCTCTGAATGAAATACTCTAGTCTCAAGTCTGCCTGCTGAGATGGTGAGTACATCAGAACTTGTTTTCTGTATATGGAGACTTCTTGGAGCATTTCCCAAGATATATATTCTGTTCTGTGTGTGGGAAGATCAGTGTGATCTTTTGATGAGTTGCTTATAGGTACCAAAGTGTACATACCCTTCTTGCAAACATCACATGCAGAGAATACTGCTTTTTTTCTGCTTGAGAGAGCCTGCTTTCATCTGACAAACATACAGACTGTGCACAAAGCTTAAGTCAGTATCAAGGATAGATTCTAATGGTTTGTGGCTTAATAGCAAAGGAGTTTACCTTCGCTAATAGTGATTTTAACTTTTCTTTCTGAAGAAGGTCTTATTTGCCTACTCTGTTCAGGAATACTGATCAGGGATTATCTCTGATTTCCCCCTTACCCATTTAAAGCAGATCAGATGTTTGTAAAGGTCCCACGTCAAATATGCTCAGCATCCTAAATTCCAAACACTCTGACAGAGATGTGAGACAAAATACAGGGAGGGTATGTATGTAAACAGCCCATTATAGTGGCAAACATGACTTCTTACCTTCATGATTTGGCGTCATTAAAGCTGTTAGCCTAAGAGATGCCTGGATATCCAGCATAAGATGCATCATAAACTCATCTTTGTTAATGAATAAAATATAGATGCATTATCATTTTCCTTGCTGCAAATGTCCTTGGTTTTTTAGCTACAGCTCTTCTAGTGATCCACTGATTTAACAAAATATTATGGGAAAGACCAACAATACGTACACTGCAGTTACTGTATGTACTGTTTTCTTTGTTAACACATTATGGTCTCAATGGGAGCTGTCATTCATACCAAAGATGCTCAATTCTGAACCTGAGACTTTTTTCAGCTGATTTGAAATAGTTCTAGTTGCATACAGAATTAAGTATACTTGCCTTCTCTGTCAAATATGCATGGGACAAATTTACCCTCTAGCTTCTCTAAATGTCCCCACTACCACCCAGATTATGCATCAGTGGGGCTCTGAAGGGTATTCTGGTCCCAATTCCCATATAAGCACCTAAATGCCTCTTTACGGATGTGGACCGTAAACAATTTCACCTCTTCATTTGGAAAGTTATAATTTAATTTTCCCCCCTGCCTTTGTTTTGTTTAGATTTTTACTTCTGAGCAAGGCCTGTCTTATGTATGTTATGCAACCCTTAGGGGCAAAATCTCAGGAGTCTGTATCTTTTACTGGAACGCAATGTGTTGGTTACCTTACAAGTGACACTGTATTGCCGTACTGTGGGAAATGAAAAATACTTATGGCTTTCCAAGAATGTTGGGGAAGCACAAGGGGCTGGCAGGCTTCAGCCTTGATTTTTTTTTTTTCTGATTTCTTGATAGTATGAATGCTGCCATTTTTGAGACCATGACATCTGGTTTCTTCTTGAATTTGAGCAGTGAGGCCAATGCTGTGCACTTTAGATGCATCCTATCTTACACAGTAGCATGATGAGGGATGAGTGACCAGCCCTGGGTGCCTACTGAGAGAGCAGTACCGTAGTTGCCCTGGCTCCTGCCACCACTCCTCCTTCTGCTGCCTCCTGGGATGATCTTACAGCAAGTTTGGACATGGGCTGGCTTTTCATCTGACTCTTGCTTCTGTTGGATCAAAACATGAAATAAGAAAAATGAAAGCTAATCATCCTGTTTCCTAGCAAGAAAATAAAGAATCATTTGCTTGGTGCATGCTCTTACTTTGTCCACCCTAAAACAGGCAATATGTTGTGAGTCAATAGATCAGTGTTTACATGGCACAAAGCAGTGCTGTGCAGAAATACCTCAACTCTTGAATGAACTAGTATGGTTATAGCAAAGAAGTAGTTGTATTAACTAAACCACTGAGCACTGGCAGCTGTGACTGTAGTCTATGGAAACTACATTTTGAACATAAGGCTCTATAAAATACTATGTGCCCTACCATTTACTACATACTAGGGGTGCGCAAAACGGGCCCTATTTGATTCGGATTTGGGTTTGGCCTGAATCGGGGACAGTGATTCGGTTAATTTGATTGGATCACTGTCCCTGATTCGATTTGGCCAAATCCAGATCTGAAGATTTGATGTTGACTCAAAATCAGCGATTCAGACACAGGTGCAGCTTTAAAAGTTATTTTTCTACATACCGTGAGGTAGCAGGTGCAGCTCGCTGTGATGCTGGGGTGCATGGAGTGTCCCACAGGAGTGTGGGGAGGCCCTCCACATGCTCAGTGGACTGGAAGTACTTCTGGGTCTGCTGGGGAGCATGCTGGGGTCCCCCTGCAGCCCTCCAGCTTGGCAATTGACTGGGGGGACCCTGGGTACTCCCCCAGACCCAGGAGGCACCAATGCTTCTGGTCCACTTCTGGGTCTACTGCTGAGTGCACTGGGGATCCCCCTGCACTTCTGTGGGATACTCCACGTGCCCCAGCATTGCATCACTCACGAGCTGCCTGGTACCCAGAGGTATGTAGAAAAAACATTTAAAGCTGCATCTATGTCTGAATCTCTGAATCTTTCCGAATTGCTCAGAATCAATTTGGAGGGGTTCAATTCGATTTGGAGAGATTAAGGGGTCCTCTGACTTGATTTGGCAATTCGGCCACCAAATTGAGCCAAATCAAATCGGGGACTAAAGCTTTGCACAGCCCTACTACATACTGTATGTACTACAGTGTATAAAATACTGTGTGCTGAGTCCAAGTTCAAACAACCTCAAATGGGACACCCAAAATGAGCTCAGAATTTTTGCCTTACTATTTCAGTGTCTCTGTTTCTGATATTTGAAATGAGGATACCAGTGTCACCTTGCTGGTGTTGTGTAGAGAGATTGATGACCATTAGAAAAAGAATTAAGGAGCTATGTTGATTTGGGTAGCTGGGGTGGGGGACACAATGAAACTAAGTTTATACTCAGAGTAGGGTATGAGTAGTGTAGAATCTGACCAAACATTAAAGAATAATTCAAAATATTGAATGGCTGTACTTCATTGCTAGCTGAGTGGGTATGGAAGCCTGTGAAAACTACTCTCCCATATAATTAAAGGCTTGTAATGTACACACATGCTGGGGTCAAGGTCACACAGGCAACCTTAATTCTGGCCTTTTCTAACTTCAGCGTGTGACGCAGCAACTTTCATGTTATTTTAAAGTAGGTTTCATGTCACCTTGCAGCAACTAATCTGCATATTTCTTCATTTTTAAACTTTGTCTTATCCAAGCAATCCCTAGGTTTAATATTTCACTATTTCTTTATTGTTGCTCCTTTTCTTGTCTCTTAATCTTGTCTGTGACCTCACATTGAGCAAGTAAATGTCAAATCATAATCAGTTTCCCACTTTGTATCATGAACGTGATCAAGTTCCTCTTTTTAGAAAATCTCATTAGTAAGAGTACATCTCTTTGTAATTGCTACATTGAACTCCTTCTGCTCTGTAGGTCTAACTTCATACTTCTTGGTGACAGCACCATCTTGCTGCATATTTTTAATTTAAAGATTTCCTAAACTCTTCTATTTGCATAACCTCTTTTCAGATTAATTGGCATGAATTCAAAATGGGTCAAAAAATCATATGACCAGACTCTTCCCTGTCCTAGGGCTGTTTGGAAAAATGTCAGTGGTGCATAGTCCTAATGCTGAGGAATTGGCCCAGAGGGGGATTTTCTGAAATCACAGAGCACGGTTAGCATCTCCCATTCCACCTCTCCCTGGAGCAACAGTCACCATAGAGCATGTACTTAAGAAAAATGGGGCACAACAAACTCCCATTGCACGTTTTCCTTGCATGCTGCCAATTGCTGCTTACGGTCATGACTCTTTGTGAAGGTTATAGCCATAATAGCAATGTGTTTAAAAAACAAAATTCAGCAAATCACACAAGGATTCATTCAGTCAAGGAACAGATAGAACTCTAAATGCCAGGCCCTGGATGGCTGCCTCAGCTGTCTGATAGCGCACACAGCCACATGGTGCCCTGTTGACCTGGGCTGCACCCGCACAATGGGGCAGGGGCAGTGGCAGCACTGGTGCTAGGTGGCTAGGACTGGTCTCTGGTGCTCCCTGCTGTTCCATGCTGTGTGGGGCAGGGGCTCTGCCAGGCGGCCCCAGTGACCCTGATGGCCACTGCTACTGCAGGTGAGTGGCTTTTTTAAGTGCTGGGATGCTGAGGCTGAGCAGGGCAGCCACTGGAGGGACGGGGGGAGCAGAAGGAGGGCACATGAGCCTTGTGGGGTGGGGTAATAGCACCTGTTGGGGGGGAGGGGAGGCCATGAGCTGTGTGGGGGTGGGGGCTACATCCTGTAGGGGGCAGAGGACCCAGTCCTCCTGAGTAGCCCCCTACGATGCACCCACTCCTACCCACATACCCCATGGTCCCCTACATCCCTTCCCAGTCACCCACATCCCCCCAGCACACACCTGGTGGGCCCAGCTGCCAGGCAGGATGAGACCTGCTGGCAGGAGCTGTGGCTGCAGGGGAAGCTGTCCCCACATCCTGGTTAGTGAAGGGGTCAGGGGGAGCTCTAACTGCTCTATGAAAAGAAAACCAAAGGCAAACAGCAAAATATATAGGTTTTTAGAATTATTTTTTTTATGATGATAGAGACACTGCTAGGCTTCCGAATTGCTTTAACATTGTAGACGTATCAATAAAACGCTGCCCGACGGACAGACAGAGCTTTTGTTCTTATTGTGGAAGAACATGGATTTTGGGGTATTTTAGAGTGACTTCGGGATTTTTTATCTGGGATTTTTCAGTTGTCAAGTAGGGAACATCAGAATTCCTCCTAGGGAGGCAAGTGGCAGTACCCAGGCAGAGTAGCTTGCTCAGAGCTGGCAGCTGGGACCCAGCTGGAGGTTGGTGACTTCCCAGCCACGTGGTAGTAGTGCCACACAAAGGCCAACTCTGCAGCCACTGGCAGCTGGCCCAAAGGGGCAGATGCCTTTAATGGCCATGCAGTCCCCATCTGGGTCTGGCAGGTGTGCAGCCTTGGAGCCACAAGCTGTCACAGGTGGCAGCAGGTCAGAGCCAGGTATCAGCCCCTACTGCCAGACTGCTGCAGTGGGTAGAGGGTGGAGGGAACTCTCAGGGCTGCTTCAGCAGTCCAGCCGGCACAAGGGGTAGTGTCCCTAGGTACCAATTGGCTGGGCTGCAGAAGCTTCTGAGAGTGAGTAGCCCTGAGCTACTTCCCAGGGCAGCTTTTTGTGCTGCTGGGGCTAGCACAGGGAAGCTCTTTATACTGCTGGCCCCAGCCCCTAGGTCCCCATGGCTGCACATCTGGGAGGAGCCAGGCAGGGTTATCTTGCCCCGAGTGGCACAATTTGTCCCACACCAAAGTGCATGTCTGGGCATGTGTCCTGAGGCAAAAATCCCCAGTTCAAATTTGCTCCGCTTCTATTTGAGCTGCTGCAAGTGCACATGCCTGCATGTGTGGGCTTGCCCCTAGAGTGCAGTGGAATGGAGCACTGTCCAGGTCAATGACATAATCCTCAACATATACAAGCCACCCTCTGCTGTGTTGTTAATCACATCACTGCCTATTTATGACCAGATGACCTTATATACAAGTAACTTCAACTGTCAACATTAAGACTGGGGATAATGTGTTAAGAATAGTAGTGGAGATAAACTTTGTCTCTGAGCAAGTTTGAATGATATAACCCTCGTATGACCAGAAGGAGCCACATACCTTCCACTCAACATTGGAACATTCGGGCAAACCCAAATCTTGCCTGGTGGAAGGGTGACTCAAGTAAAATACCAGTAAGAAAAGTTCTTGGCAAGTTTCCATCATCCCAGCACAGATTCTCACTCATTGTTATTGACAACATGATTTTTCAGCCCACACCATCCAGACCAGCTTTGAGATGGAACTTTTGGAAGGTGCCTTGGTAGAAATATCAAAGGCTGACCAACAAGAGAGCAAACCAGTTAGAGGATCCATCAGAAACCAATATTGATCAAGGTTACTATACATTTACAAACTGCCTAACTGAAGTAGCCAAACTCTGTGTATCTAGAGGCTATAGAAGCCGCTATGTGCCATGCCGAGACAAGCAGTGTGAAAAGTTCTTCACCATCATCAAGCAATGCAATGACCCTGCAACTGTAAAAAGAACTACAGAGCAGCTGGCTGCCACATTGAACAGTACCAAAGGAGAGGTGGCTTACTACCAAAGAAGGATTGACTATCACCCACTCAAGTAGATAAGCATGGTGCACCATTAACTGCCTTGCAGGCAAAGGCACCAAAAATGACATGCCCTGTGTCAGAAAAACCCCACTGAAAAAATACTATGCAACAACAGCAAGTACAGTAACCCAATCAAGCAACACAGAAATTGACACCTGACTCATGAACAACTTAAATCATTCAACGCCAACCTTAATTTAGCAGCCTCCATCTCCAACAACAAGTTCAACACAGCTGTTAAATTTATCAAGAGTGGCAAGGATGCTGGTTCAGATAAGATATTTCCAGAATTCATTACCAAGCTTAGAACCACAAAGAAAAGATGGCTTCACAAATTCATGTATAAATGTCTAAAAAAATAACAGACTTCCAGAAAGCTGGAGAAAAGCAGATGTCATTGTGATTCTAAAACCCAATAAATCACCAGAGGATACAAAGGGTGACTACCAACACATCTCACTACTCTACATTACATACAAACTCATGAAGCACGTAATCCTGAATAGAACAGGCAACATCATTGATCCCCAACTCCTAAAAG